ATGAACTGTTGTTGACATGTGTGAACTTGGATGCGGGTTCCAACGCGACTAACAAAGAGAGCAAAAACTTCTGAACAGAGACTTCTAATATCAGCAACCTATGTATACCCTTGTGTTGTTCTGCTACTCAAGTGTTAAATCACAATATGGTCACTTCACCCTCAATCTCGAGTGTTTATATCAACTGGACGATTCTTGTCCCTGAAGCGGATGATTGCACATTTAAATTGCCATCTACGAGGCATCGAACAACCAGAAGGAAGTCGGAATGGCCTAATTTAAAGTTTCTGCGAATTACAAGAAGTCACTGTAGTAGTAAGAAAAATTGTAACTTTATTTTTAACTTCACAGTTAACTGCATTCATCTGCAGGTACACCTCGCCTACGAATCTGGAGAGATGCCTTTTGGTGACTGAAAAGAGACAGGATATAAGTGATTAAATAAATTGCTGCCCTGCCAGACTTCCTTGAAGACAGATCTGCATTGCTAAGGTGGGGAAAGGCTAGAGGGCTGCTGACATGGCTAGGAAGCCAGGTTGTTGTACAAAGGCACGATAGAGGTTCCCTAAGTGACTCGTTGCCAAAATCTAAAGCAAAAGAGACATTTCAAGCATTTCTTTGCCTCCCTCTCTTAAAAGCGGCGTTTTCAGATCTGCCCGTGTCCAGCCTTCCGTGTTAGCCATTACAATGTGGTTGGTGCTGCAAAAAAGGCATTTACTAGCAAGCCGCATCAGTTATCAAATTCGCGAGCTACTGAGGTGATATCTTACCACTATGTCACCTATCTCTCTTGCCAATTGCACCGCATCTGGTGTTTCACCCTGTTTCGAAACTGTATTGGAGGGAGGTTTGTGCTGACTACCTCATATGTCCATCGCTGGTCGTAGGTACACTGGCCTAAAAGCAGTCTTTTGTCAAAAGACAGGATTTTTGTCAATTCAGTGCTGCCCAGCCATATCTCTGTGGGTTTTATCCGGCTAGTTGAGACGTGGAAGAAGTGCCATTTGTTCTCTAAGCAGACATTAACATAAAGGTACGATAGAGAGCTTTATAGCCACCATTTCCAGGTGGTTCACAACTAATATGGCCCTATTCTTGTGCTAATAGCTGTCCTACAGTACATGGGACAGGGGTATTTGCCAATGGCAGACATCATTTTCTACCCCTCTTTGACGTCTTCGCAGACTCTCTTGTCCGCATTATATGCAATTCTTCCTTCACGTCAAGATTTATCAAGCAGTAGTAAGAAATCAGAATAGGTATACTTTAAAATTAAATTTGCTGTTTGCCGCCACTGACTTAGTGTGCTAAGACTTCCCTTCAGACAAAGAAGGCCAGAATATATGCTGATGTCTAGTGGCATGGCTTCGAGGCCACACTGTCCAGGAGAGGCATAACGAAGGAGCCCATAGTAGTCCGCTGACAAAATCTAGAGTTAAACAAACATCCACTATAACATACAGCCTCTCTCCTCCTTTGAGCGTCGACCCTGGTGATTCCCTCACTCCACTTGCCGCGTCAGCCGTTACAGCATAGTTGGTGCCACAAGAACAAGGTGCATAAGAATCAAAGAATTTTGATCTGAAATCAAAATTGTTGTTTCAATGCTTCTAAAGACATATTGACAAAGTGGTCTACCCTTTTAATAAAAGCATTTAATTTCGAAAATAATTGTTGGGGACCACTTAATGAGGCTCCAGCAGTGTCGAATGATATCCGAATAGCAGTCAGTAATTACCCCACATTAGTTAACTCTTGGTCAGTGATTAAGACAACCTAAAGGATGTTTGAGAGCGAAATGAATAAATATTTTCCCTATTTATGAAAGTATGAGTGATAGCACGATGGTCACATGTTCAATTTATCTGGCAGACGTTGGAGATTCGACGCGGAATTTTAATTTCTCTGTTGTGCATCTCTACGATCAAAGAGGATCCCCTAGTGACGTAGCGGCAAAGCAATTTAGTCCAAATGTGAGGCAGATGATTCTTTAGTCAATGGATGACTGGAAGTGTGAAAGGCAGGAGTCATGAGGGTGCTACGTCTCTGTGGCTCTCCCTTTTTAGACATTGAATGCACACCCGCAAGTAGGACAAACATCGAAAGACGGCAGAATCGGTTCAGATGGAAACCTGCTTTAGAGGATTAACGCTGATTAGGACACAGGGCTAACCTTTACCTCTTAGTAGCGCTGTCGGACCCTAGTAGCCTTCAAAGTAAACAAAATTTCAAATTCTGCTTCCTAATGCTGCATCGAAATATGATAGAAGGAGAGTGCTTATCGCAGGTAGATGATACTACGCAGACTAGTGGCAGAGAGGCCATTTAAGTCATGTCCGCTCCTGGCACATACTCCAATCCCGTGATCTGCACTAAGACCAGTCCATGTTAAATAAGGAATCACTCGCAACAGATGTCAATATCATTAAAACTGTGTCTTCTACGTCTTTTTCAAATGCCTAAGGATTTATTTGTCAGTTGGAACCTGGCAAGTAGAGGCAATGGTGGTGAATCAGGCAACTTTCCTATTTTGAAATGATGAAGTGCCATATTACCATCACCTCAGCCTCCGTTTAACCTCCTCTCTTAAATCAGTTATGTATCAATCAGTAGGAGGAAATAAATATCTTTTTCATTTAAGTTAGCCTTGCGATATCCTTACTGGCAATAGCTTAAAAAGTTCTCGTGTGAAGAATCGTTTAAAGGCGACCTATCCATAAATTGGCCAGCTAGTCAAAGTAGTGGACAAATGGAATGTCAAATGTACGTAAAAGTTACGACCTTGCCAAGAATCCAGGTATGTACGAAAGGGCAGTTGAGCATCCTTTCAGATTGCGATACAAGTTTCTTCTCACTCACCCCTAATTTGACTGCCCTTGTGACGGCCTAAAGTAGAACAGGATGTCTTCTGGACATTAAACCTAGAGGATCCCATACTCGTGTGTTTTGAGCTAATAGAAGCTCTACCACATGGTAAGAATTTAACGACCACTCAGGTATTCGTTTAAACTGCATTAAATTGACAACACAAAAATAGCAAAAGTCAGAAGACCCTCTGAGAAGGCTTTTTATGGACGACACATCTAAAATGACCCTATATTGTTCTTATTTGATAACAGGGCTGCTAGCTGATCCTTCCACATGTTATACTTTGGATGTTTGCCTAATCCTTCGTTTTGGTTTTGTGGGGAATCAGAGCTGCAACTTCTTACTTTCTTTAAGTGGTAGAGCATCTGAACCATGCTAGTAGCACCCAAGCCTTTGCCTGTTTTGGCTATTAAAGAAGGTTTGCCGAGCTACACACCTCCACAAGTGAACCAGAACCAAAAAGTGGGATGATCAGCAAGGGTCATCAACCCAATGACTAAAACAATTTAGCTGAACTCCTGATTCGGTAGAGATGCCGTCCTATTCAGGTTATTGTAAGCCAAGCATTAGTGCAGAGTTGGCATTTCGTGAGCTTGTTCGTGACTGCTGTTTCTTCCATAATCACTTTTGCCCTACCAAACCATCCTACTAAGCAGTTTGAGTGGGAAATCTGCGATCTGGAGCATTAATTCTGATTTGTTTGGTGAGATAGTTATTAGCGCATAAATATTATGCTGTTATAAAAAATAGGCTACTGGACAATAATTGCACCTTTTCAGACCTGATTACAAAAGCTGATGCGCTGGGGGACCACATCGAGAGTACCTGATGTGTCTGCTTTAAGGACAATGAAACCAGGACCACTCAGAAGTTATTTAGGGACCTTGTACTTACCTAGAGTTTGGGACGACCATCTGTGGTAATTGAAGGGAGAAAAAGAATAGAACATCTGGTTTTTTCAGGCCGGTTAGAGGCAGGTAAACAAAGCAGGCCTTCCTCCATCTTCATAACATAACATAACATAACCTTCATATTGGTGCTTAAATTTATGTGGGAGTAATTAATTAAATATCAGCAAAATTTACTAAAAATAGTAGTAAATTATTAACATTGTCTTTTGGGAGGAAAACATTTGCCTGACTTTAAGAGAACGTGGTAACAAAGCAGGCGTACATGGGAAATGGATGTGAGCCATCCCGCAGATTACCTGCGATGCAGTTCTGAATTTAACACCCAAAATTACTTCCTTCTTCATTTCTAAACTTTACATATCATGATTTTTTATTGCAAAATGTAATATCCTTACTGCACTCCAGAATCAGACATCCTAATCAAAAGTGCTGATCCAAGGAATCAGAAGCCAATCCTTCCTTCTCAAGCGGAGCTTGCGCTGGCGGAAATACGAGGCTAGGGTCATCAAAATTAGCCATTTGTGACCTGACAAGGAGGTTAAACAGAAACATTAACCTCAATAATATGACTCCAGCACTGATCACGGCAAACGCCAAGCGGCGTATTTCCGCATGCGAGTAAGAAGGGAAGTCCTACCTTTGCCTTAAAGATCCCCTATACAAGCAAAATCGTCCTCGAATCTGTTTGAATAGGGTTTCCCTACGATGTGCATCGAAGTAATTGATGTTTACCAGCTCGGCCCTGCCTTTATGTGGATGTTTCGGAAGTTGATACCCCAACAAACAGCTGCAGTCTATACACAGATGATGCGTACCACAAAATAACAGAAAAAGTGCCGTGTTTTTACTATTCTCTCCTCTATTGCCAGTTTGAGATCCCTGGGACCAGGAAGTCTGGCTTGTGCAGACGTCTCACCGTGTGCTACAGGGAAGAACTTACAAACGATTTAGGTTTTGTGGGAATTCAATATTTGTCTCCTCCACAGGAATTAGCAATGTCCGCTTAGCCAAAATACAAAGAGGAAATTTCCCATTCTTTGTTTGTGTGTCCACGCTTTTTGTTCTACTAAATCATCTTTCTTGCAGGACGGTAAATTGGTCCACTTAATTTAGCATGCTGTTTAAATCTCTGATATAAAGGAAAACTTGGATACTCTGCATTCTCAATATCCCACTTCTCTACCACAAATGAATGCCAAGGTTGATTTTTGTCAAGTAAAGACATCTTAGTAAGCAACGCATCGAAATTGTGTGCCTTGAAGACACAAAAAGGAACTGCACACCAAAACTCTAAGCCTAACAACGATATCGCATTTGTCTTACAACTCCGATAATATGACTCGACGATGATCCATCCCTATGCTTGGTGTCAGGTAAGGTGAAATGCATCGTTCCTTCCTCTCTCAAAACAAGCGAACAAAGTAGCGCGATAGAAAGGAAGTAAACTTTCGCTTAATCGCCCAGATCGTTTAACGCTGCTTGCCCTGATTAGCAGCTTAAAACTTGCATTTCGCCGACATCTAAGGGCACCAAAATGTGTCGTTTGCCATTTCTTGTCAAATCGCGTAATCCCTTTTGATTACTGGCATATTGTCCTTTCGCAGGTTATTTGTATTGCCGTTCTGTTTGATAAATGCGTAGACTTGCACGTCGCTTCACGATAGTTGCATCCTATATATAAACCATTTCATACCTTAGTCGTCATGGGTTGGGAAGCTTTCAAGCTTTGAGAATTTATGAAATTATACACATATTCTAGGTCAAGTTTTAGGCCTTGACAATGTCGCCGCCAAGCTCTGCTCATGCAAGCCGCGTTTTCAGCCCCTCCAATCATCTTTGCATTTACATGTATTCTGGTGCAGAGCTCGTGGCAGACGGTTCGGCGTCTTTTAGGGTACCTAAAACTTCCCCATCACTACCTATAACAAAACTCGGATTCATTCGAAGTTCTTGGTCTTTCAGATGGACAGGCACAGCAATAACAAAAAAGTTATCCTGGCTGCCACTTTACACTCCTCAAGTCTGTCAAACGCACTTATGGCCATATTATCAGAGTTTCTATTCTTTCAGACTTCCTGTACTCCCATTACTCTATTGTGGTGCAAAAAGCCACGCCCTTATGCCACAATTTCATGATCGGAATAGGGAGTTGAGTTTATTATCTTTGCATTTTAGCATGACTTTGGTTATGATTTGCATCCTAGCCATCATTTGGCTGCTCGGTTCTATGCTAAAGCAGTATGGAAGGATAAAGCGCTTTATTGTAAGTTCCTGGGATAGTGCACGAGAACGATGTCAAACCAAAACTGGCGAATAGCTGCATCTGTGGAAGACTTTAGGACTTTTAATTGGTTAAACAATTTTTAGGATGGACATTATTCATCAATGACATTTCGGCATGAAGTGAGTCCAAGGCCACAGCACTAACGTTCATTCCACCTCCTAGAACATCGGATCCAGACATGACTTGCAAAGACAGATTTGTCTAAAAAATTGATGGGCATGACCATTCTTAAAGAAGTAGCAATGAGTTAAGTCAGTAGGTAGTGCGCACCTGGGTGTGTGATCTATGCCAGAACAGATAAGATGTTGTGTTAGAGCTAATTTCTAAGTAAAAGTTTAAGCCGAAATTACAAATTCTTAATTTGACTTGAGTGTGCCAACCTTTATTCCATTCACAGATAGGTGGACATTCCTGGCTTCTCCCAGAGCTCAATCGAGCTCACTGACAGGTTTCAATCACTTATGGCTAAAAAACTCTAATATCTAGCCCTTAAAAAGGACAGCAGGGCTGTTCTCATTAACTGGGTTTACAAGCACAGTGGATGATATCTATGGGCATAAAATCGGTCCCCAAATCCCTTATCTTAATTTTCATTGAGAAGCGACGCATACACACTCACATGCTCAGAGGGTGGGAGCGAAAAGGATGGGACAAAGACAGAGGGAGGGAACATGCGGATGGTAAGGTAGATTAAGGTGATATGCAACAGAATGATTGGTCTTTGGTTTACCATTTTACTACTAGCCTCCTCTGCTTGCTGTTGAAAGTGGATGTTTCATGTCTGCCTAGGGTAGCAGATTACTCCATTCATCCATCACACCACTGGTAGCTATACAGTTATACAAATGGTACTCTTACAGACTTACGGAAAGTAGTAGAGGCTACTGGAACTCCTTCAATGATAAAAGACACACAAATACAATTCTGCTGAAACCAAATCTTCATCATGTTCTTCCACCTCGTCATAGGTTCGCCTTTTGTTCATTTCTAACACGAGGGTGTTTAAGAGGGTGTGAAGAGGGGAAGTCAACAAGCCCACAAGACAGAAAAGAAGAAAATGGAATGGCTTCTACTGTACTCGTTCATTTCTTGCCTCTCATTGGTCTTTTAACACTGCCACAATGCTGTGTCTCCTAGATCAGCGGCTTATTGAGTGGAGTCGAGTCTATTGTGCAATTCATAATCCACCGTTTGTACAAAGTAACAACTAAATTTGTCCACTTTTCCAACACTACAAACAAAACGTTCACTCGCTTTGTCAAGTTAAGGTATACGAACTACTCTATTTAGATTAACTAAGAATCAGGTAAACAATAACTTTACCCTTTGTTTTATCGCATAAATAACTCCCACTGCTTAGGATTCCATCATGATTCCAATCCGACTCCGGGTCTTGCTGTGTTTTGACTGTCAGTTAGCCATCAGATTGTGATTTATAGGGACGTCATCTCTTCACTTGAAGTTCATTGAGCGAGTTTTACCTCCTTCCAATCTAGATCGTACCCTGTTATGCGTCAATAATATTATAACTGTAGGTCAATCTATGCCAGGAAGGTTGCCAATGAAGTCATAATTAAATAGGCCTGGCTAGAGGTAGATTTGTGGACGTAGAGAGAAAATTAGGGGTTAGAAGTACATGCTAGTGATCTTACGGTGCACTACACGCATCGCTTCTGAGGAGGAATTTAGGACGACTCTTTAGAGAGAGGGAGCAATACCCCGCCGACTCTTCTCCAAATGATTACCATCACCCTTTCTTTGTTTTAGGCAATTACCAAATTCAATGCAAGATATGATGGAGTGTTGAGGGATAAAAGTGGTGAGACTAGGGCTAGGCTCTTCTCGCAACCAGATGCAGCACGCCTTGCAGAAGGAATGAGTGTCAACCTTATGCTTTGTTCGGTTGAGGTTACCTATCTTTTAGGGTAAAAAGCTAAATGAGTCTATTTAGCTACCTTAAGTGTTCTCGGAAATGACATTGAGATCAACTAGGTTTAAAACGCTCTCGAGAATCGCAGTATTTGTTTCCTTCTAATTTATCTTGAGTGATTAAGAAGGACGAACTCACTGAGGCAAATAAGTAGGAAATTACACGATAATTTGCACTGATTGCATTTGCGGCAGTCTAAGCTGAGATTTGTAGCTAATTGAGGCCAAAATTAAACGCCACTTGTCTATTTGACGGAGATAAGATATTCGAAAACAATGTTTCTACCAACACTTGGTGATTTATTGAGCACTCGAGAGGAGTTTCGGACAATTCTGCCAAAGGGCAGCCTGCCTGAATAACTTGGCTTTTACCTGTCCTAATTCGCTCCTCTTCGTTTCTTTTAAGCTCTCCAGAGGAGACACTGAGGCCGGCGATTACTACTATTTTCAAGCAGTAGCATTTTAGGCACTCGTGTGCGATCATTAATTTTACATTCGAAAAGGTGTCGAGGATTGTTTACCTAAATAAAAATGGCCCTTGTGACCAGGTCATCAATGCAGAATCCTCAACTACAGGAAGTAAGAATGCGAAACGTCACCGGACGTCTACCGCTAGTTGATGTTCGTATTGGCACTTAGAATGGCTCATGAAGCTGAACCCATGAACGCGTTACGTGGGCGAACTTATAATTAGCCTTAATGCCTAGAGAACCACCACTAAGCTGAAATAATGAAGGTGGCACAGATAAATCACCTATTTAAGGAAGTGGAATAATCTTGCCTCCTTCTAGTTATTTATAATTACTGCCATTCTTGCTAGCTACAGGCATGAAATAAGCCTCTCTATGCTTCACTTTTAACAATTCAAGGGTTGTCTGCTGCACTGCCGCATCCTCCATCTCATCCCTTCCAAGTGTTGAGGGAGTAAGGAGGTAAGGGAGAGGACTGCTGAGTCCTCGTGTAAAAGTTTCACATTGAGCCGAATCCTCGTGAAGTTTGAAATTGAGCCAGAGTGCTTCCAAATGTGTCTGGGATTCAAGTGGCTTTGACCAAATCTTTTATTATCACTATCCGGTTGCATTAACTAAATCACCCTTATATGGAGCCAGTTTTTGGAAATGCGACATCACCTGAGGACAGCACCAAAGGCAAATTACCAAGCAGACTTTTTCATAATAACTGGAAGGCCCTTTCCAACTATGACTTGTACTCTTTTACGGTGCTTTACCTACATAAGTGAAATTCCTGACCCTAGCCAATGCCATTTGTATCCCCATTATTTCCTAAATGTTTCTTCACCGAGGACAAAAAAAATGCATTTTCCTCTCCTCTCCCAAATAAAGTGCAAACATTCTTATTCTAACGACAAATGAGATTCTGATTCTGATTCATCAATTCCAGAATCGTTCAAATGCCAGAAGTGATCTTTCCAGTGTATGTCCGAGTTTCGATGAGAAGATAGATCTCAGTCACACTTTGAGGTGAGGATGAGCTGACCGTTATCGACAATACTTTGTCCTCTTTTCAATGCAGGAAAATACAGTTAAAGTGTTGATGAAGTGTAGTTAATTTCCTTTGTCTCGGGCTGGGGATTTAAAGAGCAGTGAGGAGTGGATTGAACACATACTTGAAGTGTCTAGATAAACAAAGGCAAGGCATTGCTGGCTTAGTTGGCGGACAAATGAGTAGTCAAATTTTAATGAGTGAAGCCAACACAGTTGTCTCGAAACAAACGAGAGGCGAGAAGGAAGGTGCAGTCAAATGATGCCACATTTTCTTATTTAATATTTTGAAAGAGAGTAGTAATTTTCTGCTAGTCTTTTAGATTGGATTGACATAGAACAATCTGCACCTGTGAGGCTAAAGAACACTCATAACTTAAAATTCATGGTTTTCATAAAGCTGCGATTCTAATGGACTTATGCCATAGTCGGTAAATGGATCACCACAGGACAACAAAGTAAATCTCACTTTAAACCAAATCCATCACTCATCATTTTTTGTCACCAACCTGACCCTACCTCTAACACCAGTAACAACAGCGATCCTGATTGGGCATTTCCATCAAGCAAATAATATATTCAACAATTCGAGCTCTGTTTGCGCCAAAACTCGTTGTAATCTCGGGTCACAGTGTTAAAGGTCAGGATGATCGGATTATGCAGTTATTAAGCATATGCAACGATGGAAGTAAAATGAGACCGGGCAGGTAAATTCGTCGAATTAATTATTCTACTCCTTTTCTGACCTTCTGGGCTTGTAAGTAATTTGATAAAGTCTTACTTATTTTATCTCCTTTTGAATAAGTTACAATGCGTTGTATTTTACACATAAAGTCGGTAAAGTAGAGAAGTGCAATAAAGGATGTAAAAAATTAATTTTGCCCCAACAAACGTTTGGGATTCAAAAGAATTTTTGGTATAAATGCAAATAACCGGCAGCGTTCTGGTAGTTATAGCGGAAGGTTGACCATGCTAGCACCGAGGACGATGCTCAAAAGGAATGGTGGGCCCCGTAATACTTCGATGATTTGTTTAACTTCATTTTAATCACGCGGGTACCTAAGTCTCCACCTTTGTACTTCCGCTTACCCCTCTAAAAACCAGGAGTGCATTTTCAGCTCTTGTATTATAACTTCTGAAGAATTCTAGAAATACCCACTTCTAAAATCATCGTGTACATCCTAGCGTTCCTTTAATATGCAAAATAGTTAATTGTTACGGTATTATTGGGTGAGTTAGAAAGCCCTTTTGTTCCGGTAATAATCCTTCTTCTTACTTAGCCCTACATTTTCTGGTATGGCTCAATCGGATATTTAGATAAAATGCAAGCCGACTATTCGGTTATGGTGGGGTTTGGTAAAATATGTGTGTAAATCTGTTTGGGCCCTTTAACGAGCTCAATATTGCTCCACTCGCATCACACCACTTATTCATACGCGATAGACCGGTTTCCTAGTCTCCTCCTAGTTAGTTCCTTTTGTCCTTCACCGATGAAGTTATGCTCCTGTTTGAAGGTAAGTTCGCTAGAGGGTAGCAGTGGACTTGTCAATTCAGTGTCATTATATTGATGGGATACCTAGCCTGTTATGGCTAATTCTTCATGACAATGATGATGGCGAGAGGGTTTAATATGTAAAAGGTAGATTTTTGCATTCGTGAGGAATATATTTGTGTAGGCGAAAGCACGCGGGCAAGTGTGTGGATTGCCGCAGTGCCAGAATTCATGCACGTTAGCAGTGGGCCTGCCTAAGGCAGTCAATTGACGATTGGTTGCCCGTCAGGACTAAACCGAGATCGTATCAGTGGATAACCGTGTTCGTTGATGTCATGCACTGACCATCCACGATTCAGGTAGAAAAATACATCTGTAGAGATACCAATGCGTAAATAGGCACTTTAATCTGCCTCCTATTGGATTTCTTTTGCCTTAACCGGGCCCTATCGACGATGCGGTAACTTCTCCTGTAATAGAAAACGAAATGACTACTAATAAAATGTCTTGTTATAAGATAAAAGCTTATTTGACAGTGACGATGGTAGCAAATTTAGGACATGTTTTTGGGATAGGATAGGTATACTTAATCAGAGCTGACCTTCATTTTTTAATCAAAAACTTTTACTAAGAATGAGTAAACATGAGTATTTATTATCAGGTGGGTCCCGACACTTGATTCTTAAGCCGTGGCTAAGATATTACCTCTAACATTATCATAGTACCTAGCCTATATGGATATCTCTCACAACGAATGCAAAGACCATCTGCAACCAGTTGAACTGCCATTTTTGTAGGTGCAATATTATGTTCCATTTCTTCTTTGAAGTCGTCATATGCTAAGGTAGTGCGGAAGGACGTACATTACCAGCATACACAGGAGGCAGGAGGCCTCTAGACTGTCCTGGTGATCATGCTTCCGAGCAGGGATGTGACCTACTAGGAGGAAAGTGGCCGAACAGCTAAACATCCAGTAAAAAACAAGAACTTGCTACGTTTTACGAGAGCTTAGGGTTCAGCTTTCATTAGCCAATTTGATTCGTCCTTTGGGTGAGCTGTCACCATCTTTTACCAGGGAACCCTTCTCCGATTAGGACGCAGAATCCAGTCAACGGCATTTTTAGCAACGCATAAATTTACGTGTTTCACTGCCAAGCATGCGGTGAGGCTTCAAATCTCTAGACCTTTGCTCCGTCAATTTCATTCCTTCCCGAGGGCAGCACGAGATCCACCATCCTTTAACACACACCGATCTGCTTCCTAATGCCATCAGCGTTGGTTATTTTTGTGTAGCCCCCTTATACAGCCCGACTGTGTATCGCATTCAAAATCAAACAGCAAAAGAATGGTTAATCAAGTTGAAAGCACCGAAGATCTTCACTGATTCAGGCAACTTCACCGCAAGACTAAACAATGCAGTCAAAAGGAGAAGTCAACTAATGCTAATCAACTAATAGCGCATATTTAAACATGTTGAACGTGAATTCTTTAACAAATTTGCAGTACTTAAAAAAAGCTGCATCTATTTGGACGACTTTTAAATATGCGCCAAAAAGAATTTGGGATATTTCCTGCAGAAATTTCAAATTTTTGAGTAGGTCGTCAACAATATATTCATTCAAACAGGCACTATGCCCATTCGCATCACTAATCTGCAGTTGATCGCTATTTAACGACTCTAATAAAATTTAAAATCCCCTTGACAGAAAGTTTCAAACAAATTTTTTTGTTTATGACATCGAGGCGGAACGAGAGAAAGACACGGAAACAAGTGAAGTGTTGACTTAAGCTAGAGGCTTAATTAAGGCCCAGTGTAGAGTAAATTAAAAGATTTAGTTTTAAATCACCTCTGTTTTTGTCCAGACGTTATAGTTTGTTTCTACAAATGAGTCCTTTTTTGCAGCCACGATGCCCAATAAGCCATTTTGTTTATAAATTTTCGTCCATAATACAGATGTAAATGAAATGAAAGATGCTTTTAAATGTTTAGTAGTTAAAAGATCACTCCTCTAGCAAGTTCATTACATGAAGGAGCCATTATACGGTCAATGAAATGATAAGTCTCTTGGCCTGACTCCATTTGTCATGCTACATTATGACATTAAACATTTGTTTGACTATCCCTCCATGGGTAGCAGGCGGGCTGTGCGGACCTTTCTCGTACCTAAGAAGGCGCCATTGATCCGCCTAGGCATTGAAAGTCTTACCTGCCCTTACGATGGCCGAATAATGTAATTCATTCACAGGGCTAAGACAGGAGTAGATTGGGAAATCAAAGAAAACCCATTGTCACTAGACAATGGAATGAATCTCATTTTAACTACTTCTGCGGCAAAGGGTGAGGACGTAGCTTACACGCTTTGTATTCTTAATTAACTTGGCAGACGGCCGTTGTACGATGATCACCCTTCTTTTTGTTAGTTCATATGCAATCAAGTCTCTCCTACTGATGTAATACCACTGGATAATACAGAAGCGTCAGGAACTAATGTTGGCATAGTTGAGCTTGGATACGTATTATAATGCAACCAATTATGAAACTGAAGCTGTAAAACAGAGGTTTTTAGTATCAGCAACCTATGTACACCCGTACACCCGTTTGTTCGCCGCGTGTTGACTTACGAAGTGGTCTCTTCTCCCTCATCCTAGAGTGGTTATGTTAATTCGACTGGTCTCTTCCTTGCAGTGGAAATGAGCATAATTATGTGTTGTCCAAGTGGCATTAATCAATCAGGAGGAAGCAGGAAATAGGCATATTGAAGTTCTTGTGAATTGCAAGAGCTCACAAGTTGTCCTTAGACTTATGGCCCCAAGAAGCTGGGATAGCCACCCACATTTGATTGTTACTTCAGTGTTGCTGGACATGAAGTTGTGCCAGACTCCTTCTAGCGATCTTTTACGCAAATTTTTTGTTTTAACTTAGTACCTTTTGAGGAATGAAAATTGCAAAAAAGGCAATTCATTCACTTTTGTCAATCTTGGTTGTTATCGAGACCAGATATCTTCTCTCGGAGCAAAGTAAAATTAGACACTGATTTTGGCTTCAAATGAAGGAGTGATTGGGACATCTCTGAAGATGAATGAAGCCAAGCCATTTCGGTGGCAGCGTTAAGAATTAAATAATTACGTAAAGCTTATGTTACTTTTATTGTCTCTTGTTAGCTATGGTGTGGCACGCAAGGTCTTAACGTCCTTTATTTCGACCCCAATGACAATGACATGAATCCACTCTCATAAAATTCCTGCAGTATTAACATTAAAAGTGACGCCAGGCATACCACAAGGTCTATGAAAGCAATATAACAGATAATTTGGTGACACCTGTCATTTCTTGCATGACAAATGAGGTAGTCCGCAAAGCTTGACTGTGCCTAATAATTCACAACTACATTGATTTTACGAGATAAGACGGCTAGAAGAGGAGTGAAAATGAAGCCAACAATCCGTAATATGCTTTTATTGCAATCAAGTGACAACACTACAGTGATTCTTAACGGGTAATGAAATGAAACTCAGTTTGTGCTTTGCGCGTGTGTTCTGGCAGGCGAGGTTGTTAACGGTGAAAGCAAGCTTCTACTTTAGTATGACGCATATCGAACAAAGAACGGCTTACTTCTGCTTCGGCGCGGTTTTTAGGCAGATGGTGTGAATCCTGCATTTCAATTCATCGATGAAAGATTTAAAGAAGACCCTAGACACTAGCCACCAAAGTGTCCTCATTAATGTTTAACTCAAGGTTTCTGACTAAAAACTTTAATTTGAAATATTTTTAAATGCTAAAGTCAACAATTCTCACCCACGGTCCAAACTTCTTCATGAATTCGCGTCATTGTCATTCAGTGAATGTATAAGAAATAATAAGAAATAAATAAAGAAGCTGATTTTGACCCCATAAGCCTTTTTAAACTCCGAAAGACCACAAAATACTCTTACAGTAGGGTTTTGAATTTTTAGACCTGGCCTCCAGGCCAGGCCATCTCGTAGGGGTACAATAGGGAAGCTCTTAGCAGCATGGTATTGAATCCAAGTTTAATAAAAAAAAGAGGTTTATTTGAGACAAAATATTTTTCTTGGGATTCGGTAATGTATCTCTGGTCTTGAAATTTGTTGGTAGCCTTTCCAGTAGAAACGTATTTATTTTCAGAATTTCGGCTTAAGGATGACATTATTAGCTCCAAGCGAAATTACCAAGGTGGCTACCTACTGCTCTCTCAGCCTTGAAATGTACCCGATTAGGGGCTAACGAACATTGCCTACCACTTAACGCTTAATGGTTTACGATTTGATCGCAGACAGTAAGGCACCCTTACAGGAGTTAGAGGGTGGGATACTTCAAAAGTAACTCCACTTGTGGAAGTAGGTTTGAAAGCGAGGTAGTCGAGTGTTCATTTTGTCAGAAGTTTATAAACCTCTGTCACATCGGTGGATTGGTACAACACTTATAACCCTCAAACGTATACATTGATTAGAAGTCTCCTTTACCAAGACATTCTGATTATTGACGCTAAGATTCTGCCTACATTAATCCTCACCTGAAACGTGGTGCACTATTCAGAGTGAATAGGGTACTACTTCAAATAAATTCAATGCAAACGACAATTCCATGGTCTAGTAACCACTGGCGTCCGCTTACAGAGGCGCTTTAATGGAACCGGGGACATTCTTACACGAGAAGTGGTATATTTGACTTCTATCTCATGCGTAGCTAGGCCAAGAGTAGGTTTTCGGCGTCAGCAAAAGGACGAATCTGGAATTGATTTTACACATCCAACAGTGAAGTAAGCGCTCCTATTAACTGTACATTACGGTCTACAATCTCTTAGTCTAGTCACCAATAAAAGTGCGATAATTTTCAAGCCAAGGTAAACTGAAATGGAATCCAACATTTTATTCTATTCGTTGCTCATCCTCACAACCTATGATGATGATGAGCGCACTTTAGCTTTGCCTTTGTATCATAGAGCGGAACGTTATTTCATTCGTTGAAAGGTAGGCAAGGGGAACTCGTATGTCGTGGGCGAAAGGTAGGGGTGGGTTGCTCCATGCATACTGCCTATTATGTGAATCATCTCGATTTGGGCACTTACTAAGCGGGTTCTCGGATTGCGCAACAGCAGACCCCTGACCTTATTTTACTATAAGCTACGGCAACAAAGGTAATGACTTTGGCTCCATATCTACGCTACGCTGCACTGATTGGGTGATTGTCTTGCCCGCTTAAATATGTTCTAGGGATGGAAATTTAGTACAAAGAGACGGTTGCCTTACACTGGTGTCTGTTTGTGAGAAATAACTTTTGTATAACCGTTAAAAAATCTTCGCTAGTTTTACAAACTGAGGAGCATTCCTAATGTACCCTCCACATGTGTCTAGCAGATAGGTCTCATTTGAATTTATCTCGTGTTATGCAAAAAAATGCAAAACTACTAATTCTGTCTGCTGAGTATCAACTTCAAGGTAGGCGTGGCCTTTCAAAGGCAAATTACCTTTTTTATTTAAGTTAAGGGGTAGTATGAACGATGTGTAAACAATTATTTAAGTATAACGAACAGTATAATATCATACTTGTCTACTGCTATAAAAACACCACTTCCTATTCCAGGTTCTTCTTTCAGCAAGTGATCTAGAAGTAGCGCATTCCGCAACGCACGCAGAGTGGTCAGGGAATATGTTATTAGTTATTGCAACATTTTTCTGTCATTTGTTAATTCATACTATGTGGGCGGTCCCAATTTTTCCAACTTCCACAACCTTCACTGCCCCCTTACTTGGTGTAGATGTAAAAAAGAACTATTTTATTACCTACATATTGGAAAACCTCGGTTAAGTTCTTAGGCATGTCGATCGCTAATTGCTGCAATCGGAAGTGGCACGCACCATCTGGATTTTGAGAAGCAGTACGGCCAAATCTCCCCACACGAGTCCACCTCAATAACAGAGCGGACCCCCGAGAGAGGCCAACGCTCTTTGACGGAGATAAGAAGTCGACTCCTGGCCATCATGTCATTAATTATAGTCACAACTTTTGCGAAACACATCATGACACAAATGTATCCCCTCTGCTTCCGGCACTTTGGGTCCCATCGCCAACTTCAGACTCATTTTAAAGCAGTGCACACAGGCAGATACATCCAAATACCTCGCGTTATGATTCCCATTCATTCAGCTTTGTATATTCCCATGCTGTTTTCCTCAGATATCTCCAAGGGCATACTTATTTTTGTTTCCTGGAATCGAGACAATTCGCATGCGAATCTTGCAGGTGTAGTTACCTAGACCACAGAAAATTCAGTCGCAATGGAAAGTGGGTTCATGTGTTTTTACTTTTTATAAATACTTTTAGATTTTAAAACCATACATACAACTCTGTTTAGCTGGAAATGTACTAAGAAAGTGAATAACTCGTTCACTTGTTAATGGATGAATAGCTCACTTCTTTGCTCATTGTTTCCTGTGAAATGAAATCTCGTCTATACTTATGCTTTGATTCTTTTTTAGGGCTGTCAACTTGCCAGAGCGAAAGATCTACGTTGATACATTACTTCTTCAGTGTGCTTGTGGAGTCATAGCGAATGGATGGGTTGACCTTGCCTTACAATAAAAGCGTATCTGATAATGCGAAAAAACCAAACTACTTTTCCGCAGAATTTCAGCTTGCTGCTTTTATTTTCAGTTTCTCTCCTTCCTCAGTGACGCTGAAACCTAGTCCGTAAACTCTAAATCTATTCCTATCTTACAAAGGGATTTTCTCTTCTCAGTCCTTATGGCGTGCTTTCCTTCTCCATTCAGTTCAACTTGATATGTCCGAATGCTTAAATTTTGGTGGGTCACACTGTACAAGGTCCTCTTTGGTGGAACGCATAAAAGGTACGTTAGACCTATCATTTAGCCTACCAGAGTAAGATTAGATGTCTCCTTCCTAAAGGACGATAGGGCTATTTGCTTTCCTCCGCAGTTGATGCTTCCATGGTGAAAGTGTATTCCAAAACCCCATCCCTATCCCAGCCTGCTGTGAACTATTTTCCACTCATTGCTTCAAGGCATAGAGGCAGCAGACAGTGAACTGAAGGGGTGTGCGGTTAGGATGAAATTTGCATTTCTTTGCCAGAGTAAATATAAATAGTGCGTTTCTTACTCTATATTCTAAAAAAATGGAGGAGCATAGTTTGTGATCACCTTCGAGAAAGGGTGAGATCCACACGTGATTTTAGACACCGAATTTGTGGTTAAGGTGAAAACCCAGCATCCCAAGACACAAATCACGAAGCTTACGATAGGAGAATACATGATTTATGCTTGTATGTTGCTTCCAATGATACAGATTTAACACTTATCACATTTTAGGCGAAAAAGTCTGCATATGGAAAGGTAAGAATGCAACCTTTTTTGGATTGAGAACAATGAGTTAAAGTACATTGTTCCCTTGTGTGATGAGGACTTATCAGAAAAACTGTAAAAGACCTCGTAAAGAAGGGGAATCGCAGGTCATATTCCGGCTGAGAAATCTGCTGTCGTGGAAGTACAGGTTCTAAAGCAAGGCAGTCCAACTGTCTCTGGCTACCCCCTCATCCAATGCCAACTTTATTTCCCATACGTCCTGTCTCTTCCATCTAATATATGACGTTCGGGCGTGCATATGCAAAGAGGGCAACATTCAACGCCTATAAAAATTAAACTAAGAAGGATTTGGAGATCCTGAATGATGGAAAGAATTGCTTCCTACTCTCCCACTCCACCATTGGCGATAGAGTGCAAGCCTTCTCAGAGAAGAAAACCCTCAATTGTAATTTCCCAGCATTTAGTAAGTAAAATGTTCTTGATTAGCGTTTGCCTCTTTGGTCCGCACAGGCAAATCCAACGCCGACAGACTCCATCTATGCGAAAGCCACGGGGATCATCCAAGTGTGCTTACAGTACTGAAATAATAAATTCTATAAAAAGCAACAGATGATAACTTTGAAGGAAGATGATGCTCTACGTCCCTCTCTGATTGGCCAGGGATCCTGTAACGGTGCATTTCTGTCAAGGCCGCTTAAAGACTATCATTAACACTATACTACGAATTGCGATAGCAAAGACCCCTTTCCACCTAATAATTTATGACAAGCTAAATTTGGCTCACGTATTTTCTATTTCACCTATATCCAGTTGCCTCACGGACGTTAGTCTGATTTTTTGGATCATTAATTTTAGCGGAGCATAACAACACAATCTTAAAGAGAGCCGTGTGTGCCCCCCTTCTTTTTACATTTGTGAGTAGATTTTCAAGTGAATGGATTGACTTTATGCTTGAAAATGAATTTAGCGTTTTTTTTTGCACTTCTTCCTTTCAACTAAGAACGGTGAAATTGCGAATGTATAATAGAAGATGAAAAAATGTTATAGATGTTACATTCACGTTTTTAACTTGTTTCGATAGAGAATAATGTATCCTATCAGGAATTGAGCTAATAAATTCTGATAAAATGTACAAAAGCAAATTCAATGGAACCAAGCTAGATTATCAAATTTTCCTCGCGAATAGAACTGCTCCGTGAGTTAACTGCGCAACAGCGACAAAGACTTAATCCACTTTTCTTTTTCCATATTTGTAATTAATTTCACTTATTGCCAAGACTGCAAACTATTCTGCGCTTACTGCAGTGTAACAAATTCAATTCGGCTTTTGCATATTCACTTCTACCTAGTTGCAGTCACCTCAGATACGACTGGTCTTTCCAGGTAGAATAACCTAAGTGAGTCATAAAAGCTCCATCTTGCGTAAGGCAATTTGTACCCAGTTTTTAGCATAAACGAGTGGATTTAAAATGATTTTATTCCTAACTTGGGCTTGATTTTGCTACTGAAGGTGACTTCAGCGCCCTTATGATTAATAATGTTTTACCACCCAAAAGTGCAAGCCATTAGGTTTTGGAGCAAAAATTGAGATAAAATATATAAATTCAGATGGCGCAGCTTATTTAGATGCAAATTAGATGATTAAGTACCAATCGTGATTCACGAATCCAGCAGTTTTCTACCTTCTCGTTGCCTACTTAGAATGTCGATGCCGGTTTCTGATCTCTTTCTGGTCTCTCTAGCTGTTAATTGCATGTTTCCGTGAAAGAGGTCTGAAGTCCTATCAATGTATTTTTCGACTGGCTGATCATTCGAAATAGGGTTGTCATGGAGAGTTTTCATCCATTTGTGGACGGTTCTATGATAGTGGTGATTCCAAAGCCCACCTACAGCCGCTCCTCTCCGTTGCAATATAAAATCGGTTTTCTATGGACCAACATCCTGGGTTGCGTCAAATCTTGTGCCAACATGGAATGATGGCCGACTATCTGAACAGATGCAATTACATGACGCAAACATCAGCATTCTCAGTTTACTCTTTCTCAACTTTTTGACCATTTATTTTTAAAAGTTGCCTAAAACTTCAATTAGATATTGCAAAATGAGGAAATTTATGCCATTTGATATGCCACTCGTAACTTAGAACTACGTTCTGCTACAACGTAATCAGCCACTCAAGCACAACCTTGTTAATGGTTAGGAATAATTAGACCTGCACACGGACGGAAATTACTGCAACCATTGAAAACTTTTGTCTACTCTGGAAGTATAATGATGGAAGTGAATCCTTCTGGCATTGTTAACTAACACACTTTTCGACTTAGCAGACCAAATTTGATTTGATTTTATCGTTTCTTAAGAAAACAAATCGCGCAAATTCAGATACAATACAGTTACAAATCATAAGGGTAAGGCAGTCTGTTAGCAAAGCTCACAAGCGAGAAAGTAGAGGCATCAAAGTAATGGCCGAAACCGCGTCGACTGAGACATCAACATGGTTAGGTAATCTACATGAGTAAATATCGTTATCCTCGATACCCCTCGTGGTGGTTCATCTCGATTAGTGGTCTACAATTTGCTAATCAAGACCATGTTTGCCTCATAGCTCCGTTGGTTTCAAGTCTCATTCTTCTAATGATCTGTGTTGGGGGTATTGCCCAACTTCTCACCGCCTAAGTCTGTTCGATGCTCTCAGATGGGTGCAATTCATACGCCATTCGCTGCTATAAAACCGACCGCCTGGAAGCATTCATTCACGCCAATTTAATCCATTCACATTGCTGAGGTCCATTCCGCTACTGTGCGTATGACAGAGGTACACTTTAATGAGTTTCGTAAGCACTGCTGCAGTCCATGCAGTGTTTGTTTTCCAATCATTTTAACCTAGCTTTTTTCTGTCTCAGAGTGTCAACAGTGGAGAAAATGGTATAAGGGATGCTGCTAAAAGTCGACCTGGA